ACAAAATGAAGAGCYGTAATTTTAAATTTTCTATTAAGAARTATTTTCAGTTTTTTATGTTTTTTTGGCAATGAGTCCAGAAGTCTAAGTCAATAGCCTATATTACACACTATCAAATAACATAAGAGAATCATGAATAATACTGTACAAAAACTTAAGAATCACAAATGTAAATGTTATGGGCAATATGGGCAATGACCAAACAGACTCCGTTTTATCCTGAGACTCCATATCATATAAGAAATGCTTCTCCCATGGGAAAACCCTGCCTTTGTACCCACCAACAGTTGCTTAGCATAGCATACTGACAGTACGAAATGGCAAAATTGTTCCTTCTATTCTTATACGCTGTACTTGTGCAATGTACCCTAAATGTGTAGAAAGTTTAATGTTTGTCTAGACATTAGTAACCATTCTTTAAATTGTACTTAACTAGGATTGTTTTGACCCACTTCCCCTTTTACTTATCATTTTAGATTTCATAATTTTTTGTTTATGGGTTTGAACCATGGCAACAGCCACTTATGATTAATGTATTGASATGCTTTACTTGTGGTTTTAGACAATAAAAGTATGCTCTAACCCCTGGAGGGGGTCAAGGAGTGTAGACTTGCAGCCTGCTTCTCGTTCTACCAGCTGGTGCCTCAACTGCTGGTGAATAAAGATGGTTTCATCTGCTTTAAGACTGAACCTGTGATTTATTGCAATAAAAAAAAAAAAGAATACAGCAGCAAGAACCCATTTTCAGCAGTTGTGATACCCAAGATTGGCACAGGCTCAACAGGAACTGGACCAAACTATTGATCTTTAATCAAGGGCTCCTGGGGCTCCCTTTTCTTAGACCAGGATCAGTCCCAGAACTTGGTGACTGTGTCTGAAGAAGGACTTTAGAAAGCACCTGCAAGGCCAAGGCTGTTTCTTCCTTGGTGTTATATAATATTTATTGAGATACTTTTGTACTTGGTAAGTAGAAYAAAGTTTCCAGAATTCTTGCTGAAYACAATATTTTTTTCTAGCTGGTTGAGAAAACAAGCTCCCTTTGGTTTGAGAAAGCATTAGAAGAATCTGCAAATAAAAATCTGATGAGTTTTGAAGTGTCATTCCGTAGGATTTGTTTTGTTTTTATAAACAATGCTAACATGGTTGGGAGGAGCAGAATTAGAAGGAATGGGGTTATTATTAATATGTTTTATTTCAGCAGAGTTTATATCAAAAAGACTATAAACTTTCAATTTTGCCAATTGATGTTAAATAGATACTGCTTAAGGAGTTGGTAGAATCGATAAATTAGAGAAATGTCATGTTTTGTCTGATATCAAAAGAATGTGCCTGTGCTCATTTGTGAAACTCACTTCTGTGAGAGGCTGTGTGGTACAGGGACTCTGGTGTGGTAGATTTAGGTTTGAGTCCCGATTCTGCTGCTTGTGAACTTGGGAAAGTTATTGCACCTCTCAGACCTTCAGTTTCATCATCTCTAAAATAAAAATTGCAAGTTTACTACTTCCCTCACAGGATCATTGACAATATGACATAAGATAATGCACCCAAAGCATTTATCCTCCTTGGCACATGGTAAGCACTCATACTTCACAGGAATTCAGATCAGCTGTTATTCACTGAGCATGTGCCGTGTACTAGGCATTTAAGGTAAAAAAGAATTAACACAAAGCATCAGGGATCTGCATATTCAATAACTGTCTGCTTAGCCTCTTCTTTGTGACAGTGCTATGTTAGAAGTACTAGAAATAAAATGCTAGAGAAGAAAGACAGGGCCTGCTTTTGTGGCACTTGCTGTCTTGTGGGAGTACTAACTGTACCATCTGTTATGGTCTATGCAGTTCAGGGGGTCTGTTATTTCTTTTTCCCTCCATGGTTCTGTACTGCGTCCTAGAGCAGTGTTTCTCAAACTTTTCTGTATGTAAGAATCAAATTGGAGGAAGCTTGTAGGGACTCCAGAATCTGCATACTAACACCCTTCACCCCACTGGTGCTAACCCTTGAATGCTGCCCTAGAGCTGCCTTCCTTTCACTGCTGTGTGAGTTGACCCTTCCAAAACTGCACACACCAGCATGGCACCATAAGGAGGTTTCAGATTAGAATTCTCTCTAATGCATTTTATCTTGAGATGACAGGATGACACCAGGAATAGAACTCTGAAAGGGTCAGACTGAAAATCTATTTCTTTCTCCCTTGAACTGTGTGATCTGAGACAACTTTAGAAACTTTCATTTCCTTATTCATCAAGAAAATCATATCTGCACACCCATTTGACAAGCATATTTTGAGCCAGGTGTGAGCCAAATGATAGACATTCAAGCTTTGTATGAACCTCAAAGCTCCATACAAATAAAATATAGATTTTTTATTAAAATGGAGGAAAAAACATTGCCACAATTGAGCTAAGTTCAGAGTTTGAGAAGAAATAAATATTTGACCTTTGCCAATGAGCTCTACTTCCCTCTCTGCCCTTTATCCACCCTGAAGAGGAATAATTGCATTGTGATAAACTTAGTCAAAGATGTTGTAGGGCCCCTGGTTTCAGAACCACCTRCAGCCCCTAAACTGGCATCTGTTGCGTTCAATGTCAAGATCTTGAAACATGTTTGCGCGGGCACTTGAAGCTGTATTCCAAGGCCTTAGGTATTTGTGAAAGCAAACACCCTATGTTAAATTACAACTAGTTTTCCTTTGATTGCTTTTCACAAAGCAAGATGGTCATCCATTTATAGAATTTTAATTACAGAACTCATTTATTTATGTTAGCTTTTTCCTGTGAACAAGCAGAGGAACCATACATGTTTATCACAAGGATATCCTGGCTGACCCTGGTCTACTTTGCAATTTGAATATCAAAGCTTTAAATTGGACATGAAATACTAGAGAGTAGCCAAGCTTCCTACTTTAAAAAAATTTTTTTTCAGGTGCTATATGTAATGGTTCTTCAAGAGTAGGTTCATTTTACTTTTGAAGGAAAAAAGAATGCTCTCTCACACTTATTTGTTTTCAGTTAAACCACATTTTTACTGAATGAAAAACAACAAAACAAAAACCTTACCCATAACTCCATGCTCTGTAATACATAGATTGCCCAAAGAGTATGTTTTGGGGGTTAGATATATGAATTTTAAATGCTGACTTTTAAAATCTAGGCCTTTATACATTTTCTTATCTTAGATAGAAGTAAAATTTGCAGACACTGATAAGTTGCATCCTTGTTGGATATTTACATAAATGATATTATTCCTAGTAGAAATATAAATGCTTAATTTGAACAATTTAAGCAAGTTGTTGGTTGACTATTTTGGCCAATGATAAATTGCCTTCCAGGACAGTGTAATAATCCAATGAGGTAGAGGGTGTGCTCTCACTTGCAAATATGTGAGGATGCTTGGGTTGCAAGAAGCAAACTGGTTTACCTAAGGCCACCCAAGCTTCATGTGCAGTGGGGCTGTGAATCATGTCTTCTGATCTCCAGATAATGTTAATTCTTCACAAGAATCATGTCTACTAAATTAGAAGTATGTGCAAACTGAAGTTTGTTCCTTTAATTTATTTGTTTATTTGCTTTCTCCTGACATAGCATTCATTTCTAACTAATGTATAATAGTGGCATATGGGAGTGGTGGCTGCACAGAACAGTAGCTAACAGCAAGAGAGGAGTCAGAGAAATCTCAGCCAAATAATTATTGCAGCTTAGGACTGCTTAGCAATTATGCCCACACCCTGATTAGCTCCAGAGGGTCACAGCTCTAAAATGCCTAGCACAAATATAATGTTTGTTAAGATTATCTTGCGTCACCAAGAAAAGCTCAAATTATTTTTAGTGTATTCCACTTAAAAAGACAAGGAGGTGGTTTACATTTTTCAGTTGAACTTATTTTTTTTCCATATTGTTATGGGTGCATTACAACTGTACATAATGGTGGGATTCGTTGTTATGTATTTAAACAAACACAATTGCACTTGAACTTATTTACCATTGAAAGTGTGTCAACATTATGTTATTTGGAAATGTATCCAACCAAACTCCCACTTCCTATTCTGCATCGCTGTAATTGAGATTAACAGATATGGATAGGAGTTAGAATAGAGACACATACAATTGTTTAGATGAACTATAAACTAGGTAAGGGAGGCAGAGAAATAGCATAGCTATTTAAAGTCACATGCACTAAAATAGAAGATTTATTATGAAACCATATATCAAATTTGTCTTTTGCATTTAATTACATATGAAAGTGGGAGTTTTTCATTTCCATTTTTGAAGCAAAGAGTAGGGGATTAGACAAATGTGTTAGAGTGGTTTATAAAAAATTTATTCTATGAGGGTTTTTTCCACTTACATACTAGAAAGAAATGTGTTCAGATTTTTGTTTGCACATGTGCAGTGAACTATACCGATTCATTAACAAAAATAAGCAAGAAATCAGSTCAATATACCTATGTAGAAAAATTTGTTGTCTAAATGTACATAAAAATTGAGGATGTCAGAAATATTTTTCAGTAGATATTTACCCTCAGGTTTTTCAAAATTAGAAAGACCCATGAAAATTATAAGGTATGACATTTAAAAGCCATTTTAAGCTCTGAAAACATGTAATACTTATTCACATCTTAAGGCATATATTCACTTTATATTGAGAAGGAGAAAATGGATATTCAATGTTTCTGAAAAAAATTTGATATAGACATGTATAAAATTTTGTTCTGAAGGAACTTTTCTTTCTAACTTAAGAAAGTATTAGGTAAGTCCCTCGTTTTGAATCCATTAACTGTTTATTGGTCTAAACACATACCATATTGTATTGATTAGCTGATAAGAGGAGAAGCAGAAAAAATATTCTCATTCTGCACATTGAATATTTTCAGATTTACAAATCTACATTGTTTTCTTCTGTTCCCCTTATGTATATTTATTTGCTGTGACTTTATATTTGAAATATTGTGAAAAACTTTCTAACATTCTTCCCATTTCTTTGGACTTTGTCTTGTATTTCAGGTGGGCCAGCCATGAGAGGGTACCTCGTGGCCATATTCCTCAGTGCTGTTTTTCTCTATTATGTTCTGCATTGTATATTGTGGGGAACAAATGTTTATGGGTAAGTTTCATTTTTGCTACTTAAACATAATTCCCAAACTAGACTTTCATACAAACTTACTCCTCAAATTATAGTAGAGGGACTAAAGCATTGTAATATTTTGTATCTTTTCTAAGTTTCCATTAAAATTTGGGGTCTAACCATTCCAGTATCCTATAGATTAGTATCTATAACAATTTGAAAATTTGTAAATAACACTACATTTTACTGACTCTCCAGTGAAGCAGTAGTGGTAACAATCTTTGGGACATAATATTTGCATTTATACAATAGTTCATCTCCTTGAATTAATGGAGTAATTCTTAGTCTCAGTGGCATTTGACTTTTGGGGCCTAAAATGCTTAGATAAGAGATTGTTGATAAAATGTAAACACTACATTTGTTTTTCCTTTGTTTAAAAGTATTTGATGAATGATGATATATGTATTTTTAAAAATAACTTTGACTTGATAATATCAACCCCCAAACTTTTAATAGGCACAGATAACTTTGCTTTAGAAAATCTCCATAAGTAAGTTTTATCCTTCTCCCCTTTGTCAGTCCTTTGGCTAGGAATAAAGTTTTGATGACCTTTAAATCCTAAATAGAGAGCAACACAAAATCAACTCAAAATACACTCCATGGCAACTTGCTGTCTTAGACAGAGGAGTATTTTTTTTTTTTGTCAATTTTTCAATTCTAGGTCTTAGAGCTTAGATTATGCTTCTAGCTTATGCTTACTAGATAAAAATATTAATGGTTCTATAACTAATTTCTATAACTAACTAATTGGAAAACAATTACAGTGCTTTTCTTGGAAGGAAGTTAGGCAAATGGCTACTGAACAAAACAAAAACAATAACAATGCCCCTGGGCTAGAGAGCTCTGAGGTCTATTATCCATTCCATGATGATTACCCAACAGTGGTCTCTCCCTCCATCTCTGTCATATCCTTTCTATCCCACTCTTAGTAGTGAAAGACAAAAACCAGAGAAAACAAAAACCTATTAAATTGTTACTTCCCTCTAGATCCTATTATTTGTCACAGGGGAAAGGACAAAATAATAAAAAGGGTCAAATACAACACAGTCTTTTGTCATCTAACTTGAGGCGTATCCAAACCAAGCAAACACATTCTTACAATCATAGAAAGTACCCAGGGGAGTTATCTCAAAAGTGTGTGTGTGCACCATGAACTTGATTCCTTCAAAAAATATTTAAGATGGTAATTGTTTTTGCTTTAACAGACACCCRAAGTTTGACTTTGCAATATCCTAAAGTAGTTTGTTTTCGGTTTTAATGACCTTTGAAGTCTAATAATATATATCCCATTTTCCTCTAAATATAAGTCAGGGTTTGTGGCCTGATGTGCTGTTCTACCATATTTATGTTTGTATCTTTCTTATTTGTTAATCAAAGGGTCCTTGCCATTTGTGGTACTCAACAAAAGATGTTTCCCTACATAAGGACTTTATRAGATTTTTAGTTCAGAAACCTATTTCAATATTTTAAATATAAAATCTTCTAACAATGGAGATTTTGTATTTAAATATAGAAAATTATGTTTATCCATAAATGGGTGAGTCTGTTTCTTTCAGTTTGAATCCTGTTGATTATAGAGGAAAATTGATTATTTTTATAGCATTTCTTCACATCGTTGATAATTGTCAGTTAGGTTTTTATATTAAGCTATTTTATTCTTTCCCAGCTAGTCTGCATCCTGCTACCCTCCACCCCTTTGGTTCATTTTCATTGTTGTTCTCTGTCATSTTTCACAATACCCTTTTAAATTTCGGAGACAAGTACTCCATTCAGGAGTCACACAAGGGCCTAACCTGTGCCAAGAATAGAGAAGCATTAGTTAAGATTCCAAATGCTGTGATTTATGGAGTCCCCAGGATCACGAGGCAAAAAGCCTATTGAAACTGCTCAGGTCAGGTGTTTTTGTGATGTTCCCTGTTGGTAGGTGGCCCTAGATGTGGCATGGTAGATGATAATCATGAGTTTGGTTTCTCTGGCTCTTGAGAGAGTCTAAAAATGGAGCGTGGTTTTGGCTTCTACTAGGTAACCCTATCCCTTCTCTGAGAGTCCTTTGACTCACTGCTCTTTGAACCACTTCTTGGGTTGCTAGTCCTTGGCCTTTTCCACACTCCCTGGCCTTATACTTGAAGATCCTCAAGTGTGTATGGGACTTGGAGASGGTCAGACCTCAGGGCTGCAGRGTGGATTTTGACCCCCTGCCCAATAGCCTGTCAGTGGTGGCAACGAGCAGGCTTCCGGGCATTTGGCTTCCTTTTGGGCATGCTTCCAGGTCCTGCTTTCTGACAGACACTATTTTTGTCTTCTAGGGTACCACCTATAGAAATGAAGCAGCGAAATAAGATCCAGCCTTGTTTATCAAAGCCAGCTTTTGCATCTCTCTTGAGGTAAAAATAAATAGACAAAATAGAGTGTTTAAAAAAAAAAACAAACCTGTGGCATACAAAATGTTCATGTTTGCAATTGTTTTCAACACTGGTTTACTATTTTTTTTTTTCATACAAATCTTAACAGTGTAAGGTGGGCACACCATAGTTAAGGAAGAGCTTGAATATCCTGTSTCTTTTCTGTGCTTTTAGTCAGAGCTCTGCACATATTTTAAGAAAAGGTACCAAAGAACTCAATCAGACCAGTATTCTTTCCACACAACTAAGATTAGAGAGGTGTTATTTAGGTTTGGTCATAAAAATGATAAGTATTCTTTAGGTTGTATTTCCCCTACCTTGTTCCCAAGCTATTTTCACTCTTATTATTTTGTGGTTTCTTCTCCTTTGCCTCTAAGTCAAACTTTACGATTAGAAATTTTGGTCCTTGTTCTGTGAAATACCTTTGGCTGTGAATCTGCGTTTTTCTCATCTCCTCCTGTTTGAACAAAAGCAGACAGTGTCCCAGATAAGTGGTAGCTTCTCAAGCTCCAAGAAAGGTCTTTGGTTCCTTCACCTCTGCCACTAATTCTACATTGCTTTCATCAAGGAAAGCTGGAAATAAGTATGCAGGAGGGAATCTAGTTTGTATATGTCCAACTCCCTAGTGGCAAAAAGGAAATGGAAAATTCTTCAGGCTGCCCCTAAAGATTCTGAAAAGGAGAATCAGATTCCTGAAGAGGTAGGAAGCAGTGGCTTAGGAAAAGCAAAGAGGACAGTATGACCTTTGCAACTTGACCACACAGATGATGAAAAAGAATAGGACTTATTCATTGTCTTTGAATGATGTCTCCTGTTTACTCTGGTTTTCTAATGTGTAAATTTGCATATATAGGTTTATTCAATAAGCTTTGTTGAATAGGCATTTAATTTTAAAAGTGAGGCCAAAGTTTATTCAAAAACAAGTTATGAAATTGGAGAATTTGTAAAAATTACAGTTGCTTAGGTTAATATTCAATTTAATACAGTATATTGGTTCTTTTACCTATTATAAAGCTTTTTGTTCTTGTTAACATTAAATCAATGCATAATGTCCTATTTACTAATGTCCTGTGTTTGAGATTTGCTTAAGTCTTTATACTGATGCCATTTATATTGACATCTGGGCATTGAAATGATGCTATGCTTTTATTTCCTATATTTTAAAAACCAGAGTTAGAGCTTTGCACATTAAAAAAATCATATTAATTAAACTTAATTTCTGTAATTTTTCAGAGAGGGATCCAAAGATATTACCTTGCAAAATTTTGGATGGATAGGGAAAAAGTCAAGGACAATTTAGCCTTGAGAGTTTAGACAATTGATAATCAAAGTTTCTAAAGCAATAAAAGGACAAAATACTAAATATTTTGAATCAGGAAATAAGATTCCATAAACCACATTAATAGGGAGAAATTTTTCTTGGCTATGTATTTGATTTAATATCATAATGTATTACCCTTTGCACCTATACTTTTAAAGTTGGAAATCAATAAAGCATGACAGGCCAATCATGCCATAAGTGCAGAGCTGTGGAAAGTCCTTAGCATTTTCACTACATTTTTCACTTAACCAGTTGTATAACTGAAGAAGTTAAAACTGATGTTCTTGCTTTCCTAGCACTTTCTGATTACTAACAAACTATCAGTTTTCAAAATGAACCATGTTTTAACAGGCATATTTTTCTGAAATTTTAAATAAGAGTACTTATTTTCACAATAAAAAATATTTTCCCAGACTTTTACTCACTTTTAGTAAATGGCATAGAATGCAAATAATAATTAATCTATATGCAATGTAAATAATGACTTTTTGTTGTAGTTGTCAGGATTTTCAAAGTGCTTTTTTTTTATCCACACATGTACTTCTGTGTATCTTGACTTTGATAGATTGCTGATCAAAAGTCTTCTAGATAATAAAAAATAAGAGACATAAATAATCATGTTTAATTGTATAAAATGGATATAAAATCTTCAGCATTTTTTCATTAAGCATCCCAGAATTCAGAATTTCTTTTACTATATTATGTGACTATGTCTTCCCATTACTGGTTCTTAACCTTTGCGGCCACAGACCCTTAGAAATCAGTCAGCTCTGAAAAACTGAAGAAACGTACAAATTTTTTGTACATGATTACATGCAATAGCTGTTTGTAGTCTTTCCATGGATGCATGTCCAGGTTGGGCCACTACAAAACTAGATGAGTGTGTTTATRCTTTTTGACTATGACTCATAATAAAGACATTTCACTTGAACACAGTACACATATGTATTTATAATAAGAAAAAAAACAATATTTTACCCTTACTATCCAAGATATACTGTGTTCTGTTCTGTTCATATTTTTTTGAAATATGCTGATCATTACTCCAAAAATTGATTTCATAAGCCACATATAGGTGGCAGATAACAAGTTAATATGCTACTCTAGAATCAAGGTACTCTATAACTTTAATTTAAAAAATGGATATTTACATCTTGAGAAAACCCCAAAAGGTTAAATAAAGTGTGAATACAAGTACATATGTTCAGCAGGTCTGTAAGTCTGTCATCTAAGGGACAAGTAGATTTGTACTTGTCAGGTGAGCATAGTCCCCTAGAGCTTGCCATATTCTCAGAAAGAGAGGAATTATTATTATCAATCAGGAAGTTGCACATAAAAACCTGGAGTGTTATAATGTGAACACCTTTCTTCAGAATTCAGTTTGCCCATGGATTTTAGTTTTGTCATGAGCACATTAGTGACCCCAGATGAGTTACATCACTTTTCCTACCTTTAGTTTCTTCACCTACATTGACTAATGCACTTTACCTGCCCTGCCAGGCTTTTTACCAATAACAATCATGGAAATATAATATATATTCTAATATAATATTATATACTGTAGTATATATTTATATGTACAATATATATACAGTGTATCATATGTTATAGTGTATATACATTGTAATATATACAATGTGACAATTACAATAAGTAGTCATTACTCTGTACATAGATTAATAATTATTTGCATTCTATGTAATTCACTAAAAGTCAGTAAAAGGAAAAATTTCTAATCAATGTGATATTATACAATGTAACATGTAACAGTATTTTGTGATATGATGCACTGTAGTATATGCAATGTAATATAATTATTACAGGTAAAGCTAATACTTATTGAGCCCCTGRTATGTCTGAAATATGATATCAAACAATTATTTCACTTAGAAATAAATAAAAGTCATCTAGTACAAGGTCCAACTGGAAATATTAGTCATTAGTTAGCATCAGTGTTCCTAGTGCTAACTCCAAGCAAGTCTTTTATTGGTGCAGTTAACTAGGGTTCAATTTTCCAAGGAAGACTGGGAAGCTCAGGAGCCTTCTCTCAAGGTCAAATCAGGTGACCTGATATTTCCTCTTCCCAAGGCAGATCCTAGGTTCAAGATTAACACTGATATAGAAATGACATTTGCAGGTTGACTGGCTCTTGAGACTGCTATCACTATCACAGCTGAATCTGGGACATCAGAGCTGGAGCAGAGAGGGCTGGTCTCACCTACTTTCCTTCTCCTGAATGCAGTGTCATTTCATAATTCAGCTCTGAAAACATTAAGCTCTTTTGACTTGCTCAAGTTTTATGACTCCTGAGTGACAAAGCCAGGATAAAATTGAGGCTCTCTCACTCTTCCTGAGTCTTACTTTTTGTCATGCAGCCCTCTGAAGCCCCWGTATCACTCTGATCTCCACCTGCAATTTTTAGACTAAGCACAAAACTCATGATGTGGCAGGAAAGATGGTGGCAGGTGTGGGACTGTGGTTAGGATTAGCTATATTTGTCCTGCAGCATGTAAGTACCAGCCAGTCCTTCTGCTGGGTGAAAACAGCATTTTAATATGAACTTTAAGATCCTTTCAAAAATCTCATTTTTTCTGATTCATAAAAATCCCAAAAGATTGATTTGGAGGGCTGGGGAAGTACTTCAGTGGTAGAGCTTGCCTAGCATGCACAAAGCCCTTGGTCCAATCCCCAGCACAGGGAAAAAAAAATGAAATTTACTTAATCACTTTGTTAAATATGCTAAACTCTGTGTTAGGCACTAAAAATAAGAAAAACAGAGGCTATTCCTATGCTGATCAAGCTTTCTTGTCCAGAGGATTGGGGGTTGCCTTCAGTGCAAAGCAGGCAGTAAGAAGATGAATGCCCACACTCTTGTTCTTGGGTAAATCTTAATTTAATGACATTAGGGAAGAGTTACATTCTAGCTCCATCTACTTTTTAATATGTTTTTACAGCCGAGACAACAACATACAAATGGTCCTTTTAACATTTAGGAATGACTTAGTATCAGTACCTTTATTACTTCCCTTTGTTCCTTCCTGGCTATTCTTTGATTGCTTGGTGCTGTTTTAAAGTTTTGTTTTCACCTCCACTGTAACAAAATTTTGTTCTCAGTACTTGGAAAGTGTTTCTATTCCAGTGTGTAGTTCCACTGCATATTCCATTCTATGTAATATCTAATGCTGTCTTACATAAAAGATTTTAAAAATACAACTTCAGTTACATGCTATAGTTATTTTCAGTACTTGTCTGAAAAGCCTGCCAATATAGAATGCTCTTTCATAATCAGTTTGTTTTTTTTTTTTTTCTTTCTTTCTTCCAGGTTTCCTCAGATTCATCCCTTTTTGTGTGTGTCTGATTTTAGGAATACTGCTATAGTCACTGGTAGTGATCAGTTTTATTTGCCCTATGGGACAAAAAGATCAGGTCAGTAGCAGTTTTCTGAACCTTTCCTGTTAAGTTTGAGTCCTCTTTGATGAGAACCACAAGTTTGTATAATTCCAAGGCCTTTTAATCTTTCTGCCTCCTAATGATTCCTAAGGGATACAACTGGGGGGATGGGATGAAGGGAATTATATTTTAAAACAGAAATATCCCTTGCTTTTGAGTTAAGTAATTAAGATGGTAGATTTTTGTTGTTGAGATGCTGTGTTTTACTTTTTGTTCTGTCACAGGGTGACTCTTATGAGTTCTCTACCTTACTTTATTCCAATTTAGAATTACAGGAGGGGCTGAGGATATGACTAAGTGGTAGAGTGCTTGTCAACATGTGTGAGTCCCTGGATTCAATCCCCAGTACCCACCTTCCCATAAAAAGAATTAACGGGATAACCCTGGATGTTAACTTCTTTCCTGTCTCCCCATTTCACCTCTTTTACCTGATTTGTTTTGTTTATTTCATCAGAGAGTTTTAGCTTCTTGATCAGCCTTTTAATTTAACTAGTGGGTATTTCACTTTTGCTAAATTTAGAGGGAATTATTCCATCTCCTAATGACAAAGCACTTTTGCTTCTGCTCATTGAGAACTGATTGGCCATAAAGCTTTAAGTTCTAGATTTTTGGGGAGACCTTAAATACCCAAGAAGTGGGGTTGGGGTTGTGGCTCAGTAGAGAACTTGCCTAGCAAGTGTGAGGGTTGATTCTCAGCACCACATATAAATAAATGAATAAAATAAAGGTCCATCAACATCTAATTTTTATACACACACACACACACACACATAAAACCGAAGAGTTCACAGGCCTATGCTTTTGTGAGTCAGATTTTATTTTTTTGACTGATTCTGCTTATTTTTGTTTTTTTTKATTGTTTTATTTGTATTTTAAAAATATTTTGCAGAGAATTTGAGAATTGGTTTAAACTTACTCTTCGTTTTAATTTTAATGTCAGTTTCAGAATCATCAGATACTGTTAAATTTTTAATTACTTTTTATGATTGCTTTCAGGTTAAGCATCTTATTTCTTTCTGGGGTTTTGGTGAGGTACATTTAGAGCATTACCATTTTGAATGTGCTTATGGAGTAGTGTCGGGGTAATTGTAGTTGTATCATTAATTTTTCACACATTAAACCAGATGTGGCCTTACCAGTTGGAAATAGGTTTGGGGGGTAGTGAGCAAGGTGGCTTATTAGTTACCTGAGAAGTCATGATTATCTTCTTACTCATAACATTCCATTTCTTTTCTAGAGGCATATTTTAAACTTGCTCTTTCAAAACTGCAGAGTTGTGATCTCTTCGATGAGTTTGACAAGTGAGTTTATTTCCTTGCTTCTCTTTGACTTTTAATTTTAGCTAAGATGGTTAAAAAAATGTGCCCAAAGAGATGTATGTATTTACTCAGGAAAATTCCATAGCACCTGTGTATAATTAAAGCCTTCTTTTTCCTTTTTCTCCACTACCTCAACAACATGTGATAATTTTTTTTCCTTTTCCTTTTTTTGATAATAGCCAACTGATAATATTCTGACTGGATGAAATGGAATATTTAGTTCTGATTTGTATTTCCTTAATGGCTAACGATGCTAAATAGTGTTTCAGTATTTATTGGCCATTTGTACTTCATTTGAGAAGTATCTATTCAGCTCATTTGTCCATTTATCAATTGGATCACTTGTTCTTTTTGCCTTAATTTTTTGAGTTCTTCGTATATCCTAGATATTAATCCTCTGTCAGGTAGTAATTGACAAGTAGTTTATATTTTTGTTCTTATTACACTTGAAATAAATGAACTACAAACTCAATTTAGAAGTACATAACTTTTTGACTGAATTTGCAAGTTTTAATGATGAGTAGTGCTCATTCTAAGCCAGGACATTTTTAACCCATGGTCACCTTTTCTAAGGTGTTTCTACTTAAGAATTAATTCATACCATTCATGGGTTGTTTCCCATACCTTCCCATGCGTCATCCTAACTCCTTCTGTTTCTCTTGTTAAAAAGGTTAACTATTGGATATTGGAAGCTGTTCTCTTCCTTGCCCCCTACTAGAAATATATTTGAAGGAAGCAGACAGCTTGCTTAGATATATGTTTGTTGACTACAGTGGTTTAAGTTTTTAGAAAATTCTGTTGCTAAGATAACCCTGTACAAATTGAATTTCCAGATAGACTTGTTGGCAGGTGGGCCCATTTCATAAGGTTTAAGCCACATTTTAGAATTTGGCTGGTGGGCTAACATGAGAATGTGGGTGGTTTAAAAATGTCAGGTGTCTATTAAACATGGGACAATGACAGAATTTCCCTTCTTGCCCAAGAGAATGGATTTGCTGAATGTGCTATTTAGTGGGTGCAGAAGACAGCTGTAGTGGGCCAGGAAGTGAAAGTGAGATAAAGTTTACACAATGGAGCTGCAGGAGCAGTGTTAGGTTTTGTTAAGGTCTGTCTTTTTTTTTTTTCTGTTGGGGACCCAGATTATTGAAGTGTATATTATGTACTATAATTGATTGATTTTTGTTTGTTATTTTTAATTAATTTTTTATTATAATTATTAACCAATTAATTGTACAAATTAATGGATTTTGCTGTGGTTTTTCCATATATGCAAAATACTGAACTTTGATCTTGTCTATATTCCTTCCCTCCTCATTCCTACCACCCTTTCCCCTGCTCCTGACCCATACCCCAATCCCTAGTAGTGCCTCTTCTATGTTCAAGTCATCATTTTTGTTTGTTCTGTTTCTCTGCAAGTTTCCACATATGAGAGAAAACCTATGATACTTGTTCTTCTTTGTCTGGCTTATTTCACTTAACATGAAGTCTTTCAGTTCTATGCACCTGCAAATGAAAGGATTTCATTATTCTTTATGGCTGAATACTACTCCATTGTGTATATATATCCTTTTTTTTTTTTTTTAATCCAGTCGTCTTTTGATAGCACCTAACCTGATTCTATATCTTGGCTACAATTAGCACGAGAATGCAGGTATCTCTTTTCTGTGCGGACTTCATTTCCTTTGGAGATATATATATATATATATATCTCCCACACCCAGGAGTGGGATAGCGATAGCTGGATCATATGGGTAGTTCTATTTTTAGTTTTTTTAAGGAACCTTCATACTGTTTTCCATAGTGGTCATATTAATTTATATTCCCGGGCTGGGGATGTGGCTCAAGCGGTAGCGCGCTTGCCTGGCCCAGGTTCGATCCTCAGCACCACGTACAAACAAAGATGTTGGGTCCGCCGAGAACTAAAAAATAAATATTAAAAAAAATTTATATTCCCACCAAGAGTATGCAAGGTTTCCTCTTATTCCACAACCTCACCAAAATTTGTTACTTTTTTTTTTTTTTTTTGGTAATAGCCATTATGATTGGGGGCAAGATAGAATCTCAATGTAGTTTTGACTTACATTTCCTTGATGGTTAAAGATTTTTCATATAGTGGTTTGTACTCACTCTTTTGTGAGGTGTCTTTTAAGATCATGTGCACATTTATTAGTTGGATTACTTGTTTTTGTTAAGTTTTTTGAGTCCCTTATATATCCTGGATATTAGTGCTCTGATGAGTAGCAGGAAAAGATTTTTCTCCCATTCTGCAGGCTGTCTCTTCACTCTGCTGATTGTTTCCTTTGCTGTGCAGCTTTTTAATTTGATGTAATCCCATTTGTTAACTGTTGCCTTTGTTTTTGGACGGTTGGAGTCCTACCTAGGAAATCATTGCTTGTACCAAGACCTTGAAGTGTTTCCCCTGTGTTTTCTTTTAGTAGTTTCAAAGTGTTAGCTTATATTTAAGGTCTTTGATGCATTCTGAATTAATTTTTGTTCACGGTGAGAGACTGTGCTCCAGTTTCAGTCTTTTACATGTGAACATCCAGTTCACACTTGTTGAAGTGCTGCTCTCTTCCCACTATGTGTCTGTGGCCCCTTCATTGAGAATCACTTGGCTGAAGATTCTGGGTTCTCTCTTCTCTTTCTGTTGTCTGCTTTTATACCAATACCATGCTGTTTTGTAACAGTGGCTCTGTAGTATGTTTTAAAATCTGCTCTTGTGATGCCTCCAGCATTGTTCTTTTTTCTCAGGATTGCTTTGGCTATATGGAGTCTTTTTTTTTCCATATGAATTTTAGACTTTGTTCTAGTTCTGTGAAAAATGTCATTGAGGATCAAATTGAATCTGTAGACTGCTTTGGGTAGAATGTCCATTTCGACAATATTGATTCTCCTAATTGGTGATCCTGAAAGGTTTTTCCCTCTTCTAATGTATTCAATTTCTTTCTTCAGTGTTTTATAATTTTCATTGTAGAAGTCTTTTATTTCCTCAATTATATTTATTCCTACATATCTTATTTTATGTGGCTATTATGAATGTACTCACTTTCCTGATTTATTTCTCAGTGAATTGGTGTATATAAAAGCTACTGACTTTTATCGGTGTAAAAAAAGTGACTGACTTTTGTATGTTGATTTTGTATCCTGTTACTTTGTTAAATTGGTTTATCAGTTCTAAAAGTATTTGATGGAGTCCTCCTGATTTTTCTATGTACAGAATCATGATCTGTAAACAAAGATAGCTGGACTTCCTCCTTTCCTCTGTGTTTGCCTTTTCTTTCTTTCTCTTGCCTGAGTGCTCTGGATAGATTTCTTTACTATATTGAATAAGAGTGGTGAGAGTAATATTAGGGGAATTGCTCTCAGTTTTTTCCCATTCAGTATGATTTTGGCTATCAATTAATTTCTTATTTAAAACTATGCTATTCATTTCATTTCAATTTTGATTGCATATCAACAGAAACCATTTACATATATTTCTACCTAATATTTTATATAGCTCTCATTTATAGATCTTTGTTTTGTACAGACCTTTGGCATATGTGCGTTGGCTCAATTCTCTAGTTTCGCAAACAGAGAAACCAAGGCAAGGCAAACATGCACAGTTTGTTATAGCTGGTAAGTGTCAAAGCTAGGATGTGAACCTAGATGACTCTATCTCCAGTGCCTGAATTAGTTAAGAGTGATAATGGCTATTTTTTTTTAAAAAAAGAGTGATAATGGCTATTCCTTAAATATTTTCAGCAAGTTATCTGCAAGTATTTATAGTCTTTGGTTCTATAAATGTAAACTCCTGTTAGATTATTGAGGGTGCATGACTGGTAGTTCTATTTTTGCCTTGTTTTATCATAGAACTAAACTATGCTTTGTTTAGCTGTTTTCTCCCACAGGCATTCAGCCACTTGTGTGCGCCTTGGCCAGACTATTTCCTTCCTTCTTGCTGACTTGGTTTTCTATTCCTTTCCCTTTCTCCTCTTTGTCACTGGGAGTGCCTCCACTCTCCACCACCAGCCTGTGTCCATTTCTTCTGCTCAAGTAATTTCCCTATATTCTCTCCATCCTCTAGAATGATTCAGACATTTCTGTGGTTATTTCAAGTGTGAGTCCTTTAAGATTCTACCAGGTACAAGTGCTAGTTTTGTTCAGAATCTCAAACAGAATGCATGGTGTTCTTAGTTGGGATAGATTCTGTGAATGGGAAAACTTGAAATATAGTTCTCATAGTTTTCACATACATGAAGTCTACAAAATGTTGCAGGGCTAACTCAACAGTTCTGTGATCATCAGGGCTAAGGCTTCTTCTCTGGTCTGTGGCTTCTCCTAGGGTCTAATATAATAGCTGGAGTTCTGCCAATCACATTTGCATTTCTGCCAGCAGGGAGGAGGAAGGGAAGAGGGGCATGACCCCACCCTTTAAACTTGCCTCCCTCTTTAACGACATCTCACAGAAATCACATTTTTAACACTTAATTGCATCTTCCTATTTCCATATTCATGATACCAAAGTGAAAGCTTGAAATCAGCCATGGTGGGAGTATTTACACCATGAGGCTTGGCAAATGCTACAAACCAGAGCTTCCTCCTTTGCCYCCTGCCCCTAGAATTGGTTGCTAAATATTTACTAGCAACCACTAATGATATCCCATTGGGTGGGAGTCAGGCACAAGCCAACACCTAGCTGCAAGGTAGACTGGAAAATATTGCTTGTATTCCAGGTAWCTGTGTACCCACCTTTAAATTTTTAAGGAACAGGGAAACCTGATTAATGACAGACAATTAACTATTTTTATCAGTATGTTCCATCATTTCAATGGTTCCCGTTTGTTTCTGTGCCACTCTGAGGATTCTGAAGTCAATTAATAACTTTGCTCTGTAATAACTAAGCTCACCTGCTGCTACTGATGATGATGATTTTTCATAGATTCAGGTTCCTCTTTCCCAAAGTACATCTAACATGAGACTACTATGTGTAATGAAATTCACTATAGATGGAGACTATTTTAAAGGAATTATAGTACAGAAGAGGAATAATTAAAGTATGCCAATATTCCAAAGCCATGAGCCTTCCTTGTTATCCATGTTGCTCCCTGGTACCAGCCTGCACCCTGGTCCCAGGGGGAGTATATCCCCCCCAGTTAGAAGCAACAGAAACATTAGCATAAAAATCTCAGCTCCCACAAAAATGTTCAAGTTATATCCTCACCCTCATCCACCAGCATTGCATTCTGAAAGTGTACCAGATTTTAAGAAGACTTCTTTAGTTCTGCAGCATAGATGGTTATACAATAATTACCCATAAATATCTTACCTACCTGTGTCAAGCACCTATGTCAAGTCTGTTGCCTGCTAAATGGATGATGATTTGTAAAAGCTACCTGGTTGATCACTCAAGCAGAATCTATTATGTCAGCCTCAGCCAAACAGGGTAAGATTGGTTACCATTCAAGGCAGGAGCATGCTCTTAGAAAACTTTTTTWAAAAAATTAGACATCAGCAATGTATTTGTTAATGAGAGTCCTAATGCTTTAAGGACTCCCAATGTCTGAATCTTTAATGTCCTGCTGTTTTGCAAGGTTTCTTTATTCCACAGCCTTTTGGCCAGAGACAGAACTTGAGGGTAAGAAGAAACTGTGACATCCCCAGAGTGAGTCATGCATGGTGAAGGTGCTAGTTCAGCCATTACAACATTGCTGTGTTGTTACATAAAGATATAGAAACTGTGGTACACATCCTCAGAGGAAAATGATGACATCCAAAGTATTAACAACATTCATGACACTTACTTCACTAAAAGGAAAATTGAAATCACAGAGGTCAGATTACTAGGTAAAGTTCCCCGAAGTACTAAGTGGGGGAGCCAGAATGAGGAGCTAGACCTCCAGCTCTAGTTCCCTGTACAGCATTTTAGGTTCTTCAGGATGCAAATAATAGTTTCCTAACCAAAACTCATTTGAACATTTATTATTGTATGTATTGCATAAATATGTGGTTTCAGATTTGCAGATTTATGGTCCCAGTTTTCAGGGTGCCCTGTTTCTACCTGGGGGCAGCCATTTCGCACACACACAGTTATCTGAATGATGCTTCCTAGATTTGAACTGCCTGCTGCCTGAACATAGAATGACTGTGGTAGTGAGATTGAATTAGCGGCTCTGTGATGTTAGGGCTCTAGGGTAGCATTCCTGGGGCTCTTCTTTCCTTGCAAGGTGGCTATAGCTACTGTAACTGTATGTCACCAGATGTGAAAAGTCTAGGCAGAAAGGAAGGGGCAGGTGAAAACAAAGTGTTCTGCTCAGACTTTTTTTTTTTTTTTATGCTGGGACAAAATCTCTTTGGAAATCATTTCCTAGTCTCTTATTGCCCAGGGATGAGTCACATGGCTATCTCTAGGCCAGCTATTTACAGAGGAAATGAGCTCACTAAGGTAGGCTTCTGAATGCACAGCTCTGCTATCTGGCACGCAGGATGAAGTTCATTTGAAACATCCGCCATCCAGTGTTAACACTGAAGTTGGAGTGATGTGCTTTAATACATATTATGCTGCCAAAGAGAAAGCATTCAGAAAAGAAGACATATCATGAATGATTTGATATGGGCAACTCAAATTTCTTTCCTCTATATTGTCCTCTGCCTAGCTTCCCTCTGCTGGCTTTGCCCGACTGTATGGGAAACATGCCTTTCACCTGAGGGAAGTGTAATATTTTACCACTGCTGTTCAGCAGCTTTTTGGATTTTCCATTAACAGGTAACAGGCACTCTGGAATTATTTTGTTTTCTGGGTGAGCAGCTCGAGGCATGTGCATTTCCCAAACGGTTCTCAAGTTGAAGTAACAGGTACCTGCTTTATTTTAGACATGAATGAGAAAAATGACCTCCACACACTCATGTAGCAATCAACTGAAGCATGTGAATTCACTGAAAAGGTTTCCTTTCAAAGGCATTGACCAGTTTTTCTTAGTGTAAGGGTTCTTCCTCTCTTCTACCTGTCCCCTATGATGTTGACAGAGAAGAAAGCAGAAAGTGAAATTCCTAAAAATGTGGCAACATTAAAGTGTGAAGAGTCTTTGGATTGGAAGTTTCCTGAAGTGAGAGAGTGTCTGTGTGATTTCATTTTTCATAAGTCCTTGAATCTGCTGAGACCATAAGCAGGAGGAGGTTGAGAGGCTGAGCACAAGGAATGAGGCCCTTTAGGTAGCTAGTCCTGGAAGATCCTGGGAAAGAGATCTGCTTTCAGTCCTAGACTTCCCTTTTTACTCTTGGCTAGAGGCAAATCAGTAGGGTCTATGGGAGGAGGTCCAGGACGGGGAGCTTGAGGGAGACCAGTGATGTGGCATATGCAGTACAACAGATGGTATGTAATATGACAGATACCCCTTGGTTAAGCCTGAGATTATGATGCCAAGCATTACCTAGGACTTAATGACCATCTGCAATCTAGTCTGATAGAGGGGAAACTTCTGTAAATATTAAGATTCAACCCATCAGTTCATTGCTAAGTGACAAAATGGAACTGGCCATGTCTGAGATTGAGACAAGTTATTTCTGGGGTCAACTTTAGAGGTAAGATTTGTGGGTCATAAGTCCTTTGTTGGAGTCCCCTGGGAGTATGCTGGTGGCCTTGACCCTGTGTATTTGGTATAGATGGTGGCAGGCAGCTTCTTGGCAGATTGGGGACTGTAAGCCAGGATGGATGCTGGAGCCCCTGGGGTGCCTGGGCTCAGGACAAGGCAACCCTTCACTTGTCAAGGGAGTGGCCTCTGACCCTCATTGGAAGGAGAGGTTTAGAATGGGTACCATAATTATAGATATTCTTCTGCTATCACTGTGAGGTTAGTTATCTCCCTGGGAAGACCTGTTGTTTCCATCTTGTTTGTTTTCAGCTGTCCCCTTCCCAGTGGGGAGATAGAGCCAGCCTCAGGAGGTTCAGCCTCTAATTTCCATTAAACTGACCCTGATGTTAGGAAAGGCCAAGCAAACTGTGAGCATGGAAATTTCCCCTGTCATAAAGCATTCACGGGATGGACCTGGTGAGGATAATGGCAATGAGAGAGAGAGGACAGTTCTCAATACTCAACCATGTTCCCCTTTCAGTCATGGCCCTAAGTAGTGAGCCTTTGATAAACTTGGCTTCCAGGGATTGGGAACTAAAGTCACACTTGCTGATAAAGCATCTAGAGATAGGTTAGTTCCTTAGTTAAGAAGAGATGTAAACAAACACACCTCTAGAACACTCTGTGACAGGTGACATGCCCATRATGTGTGGTTTTGGACATTGTATGTCTTTCAGATAGTCTCCCACCCCAAAGCCCTGGTATAAAACTGGTGCTTCTTGTCCTTGTCTGAGACACTGCTTTAGACATGACTCATTAATATTTGAGAGCTGAGGACTCCCATTAAAATGTGCTAAGTGTTTTTAAAATGTAAGCATTAAAATTTATAAAATAATTAGATGAGGGATACAAATTCTATGTAAGAAAGGTAGCTTGTGAATTTGTAGGGGATGTGTACAGTCTCTTCTTAACTTGCCCAGTGCCAGGCTCTTTTAAATAGTTCTCGCATTTTCTTTTTAAATAATCTACAGCATTTGTTCAATTTTGCCGCTCATTAATTTCCTAAACACTTTAAGGTCATGAGTTCAACTGATCTGCTGGTTTCATGGTTCTCAGAGAAACACATTTTCTAAATTTAGACTTCCCATATCATGAGGTCCCTGGGAGGACAGTTTCAAAGGCCTTCCCTTCTGTAGTTTTGCTCCCTAGAGAAGGATTTTATTTGTTCATTTGTCTAGTTGGCTAGTGGTAAGGTCTAGTTGGCTGGTGGTAAGTGCTAGGAGGCAGATGGGCCAAGGCCATGTGTTCTGAGAGCCAACAGGATACAATCTGTGATTCTCGGCCGATGCTAGCCAGCAGTAGGAAGTCCCCCTTTGTGGCCTAGTTTAAAGCTCTTTGCCAGGAACATAGAGTGCACTTGTAGTTTGTTTTGGTTAAGCTCCAAGGACCAGTCCATTTTGGGGAAATTGAAGTAAGAATGGGCAGAGTACAGAGGCTGCCCTTTCCCCACCAGAATCCATCATCTGCTTTGTCACTCGTGAGATGCAACACAAAACCAGAGATAGAATCTCAGAGGAATGGGTAACACTGGCAAAACGTGTACATAATGTAAAACACACTGGCATCAACAACAACATGCAGAACTCCAAGTGGAGGGGTCTGCTGTCCTCTAATTTTGTATCTAAATGCTAGTACCACCTCTTGGAAGTGTAACTTGGAATTGTTATATGTTTTTGAACCTATTTCTCCATTTATATAATGGGAATATTTGGCTTATGTATCTCCCTGAGTGGTTATAAGAATCAGATGAGAAATTGGGCTGCTGAGAGGTATTTGTTGACAATGATCATACACTGTTCCTATAGAATATTATTTCTTGAATCATATATATATATGTATGTGTATACATATATAAACATATCTATATCTATCTGTATATACACATATGTATAAACGTATCTACACCTATAAGTAACAATTGGTTCCTTTTCTAYTTGTGAAATTTGGCATAGGGTTCCTAACAGTAGGAAAAGGTTCTTGGAATCACCCCATTCTATAAAAGATCGCTTAATCTCTGACTTGTCTGTTTGCCCAACAGGGTGCCATGTAAAAGGTGTGTGGTGGTGGGCAATGGAGGAGTTTTGAAGAATAAGAGCTTAGGAGAGAAAATCGACTCCTATGATGTAATAATAAGGTAAATATATTGCCAACCTAGAATTGAAGAGAATATGGCTTCCTACTTTAGGCAGCTGTGTTTTAAAAATTGCTTCAATTTGTTTATGTACTTGATTTCACAACTTTCTCACTCAGTTACTTTGGCTAGAGTAAGGCCTAGATTTCTAGTCACTGACTTAGCAAATATTTATTAGGTCCTTTTAATATTCCAGGTACAGTTTTAGCTGCAGGGGAGATAGCAGTGGATAAGAATAGTGCTTTTATTCCCCGTGGGGCTTACATTCTGATGGAAGGAAGAAAACAATAATTATATGAGAAAATGTATTAAGTGTCATATATCCAATTAGAAAAAGATCACAGAGAATGGTTGAGTGGTACTTGGGAATGGGTGACCATATTAAGGAGGATCTTAGTGACCATATAGGACCAGCCATATGAAGAGCAGTCCAGACATCATAGGAAGAGCAGTCCAGACAGAGAGACTGTTTAGATCCTCAGGATGGGAACCTGTGTTTGAGTAATCAGCAAAGTTTGAGGGCAGCAAGCTCAGGTGTGATCAGAGGCTAAAGAGGTGGCAAGGAGCAGGCTGTGTGGGATTTTGTAAACTAGGATTAAAAGCTTGGATTTTAAGTATACCAGGAAGCTTTTGAAGGTTAAGCAAGAGAGGAATGCATTTGAGTTCTTTAAGTTGCTACATTCAAGTAGGAGATGATGGTTGGGTCAGAATAGAAGTAGGCAAGTGGACAGACCAGAGACATGTTACAGACATGGGGTTAGCAGGTTTATTGCTTTACTAGATGTAAGGGCTAATGGGAATAAAACCACTAAGGGTGTTGCCTATTGTTTTCAACTTAAAAGGGTGGCTGGATAGTGATGATCATTTATTGATAGGAGCAGGAATAAGTAGATTTAGAAGAGTAAGATTTTCTGTATTTACATGTTAGATTTGAGATGCTTTTGAGAGACRTAGTGGATAAGTCACACAGAAAGTTAGTTTCAATGGAAGAGGCTTATGAGCTATGTTAATACTATGGACTTGGTGAGAGTCCCCAGGGAGAGACTGAGGGATAAAAGAGGGCCCAGGACGGGCATAGAGCTTAACACATTGAGGGAAATTGATCAAAGTGAAGGGAGATGGAGAGGGTGTACCAGTGAAGAAAAAAGAAAATGAGAAGGTGATCACAGAAACCAAGAGAACAGTGTTTTTGATGAGAGAGAGAGAGAGAGAGAGAGAGAGAGAGAGAGAGAGAGAGAGAGAGAGAGAGAGACTATCGATCAACTGCATCCCAATAGTGATGAGAGCTCATGTAAAACAAGGACAGAGAGGAGACCATTAGATGGTCAATCTGTAACTCTTTATTACTTTGGCAAAAGTAAGTTTAAAGGCATAAGATGGCAAAAAGCCTGCTTGGAATGGGTTGGAGAGAATGCAGATGGAGAAATGGAGAAATCAGTGTCATCAACTCGTTTGAGACATTTTGCTCTGAAGGGGAGTTGAAAAATGAACTGGCAGTTGGAGATGGTTACAGAATCAAGGAAAGACATGTTTTTTTTGTGATGATGGTAGTACACTGCTGGAGTATATTGTTAAACTAATAGAAATGAGTGGAGAAAGACACTGGTGTGGTAGAGAGAGAGGGGGATGGGGTACAGAGTGCAAGCATGGTTAATATTTTGTAATGGAAAGAGGAGCCAGGATTGTGGCTAGAGCTAACCAACATTCCCTTAGATGTAGTGGCGGAAAAATAAAATGTTTCCATTTTCTCAATGAAAGTTTGAGGTAAGTTCATCATCTGGTCTAAATGTGTTAGGAGTAGCTAAGAATAGTCTTCTGTGGGAAAGCTAGTGCTTTGGGGTAACGCATCAGGGTGACCGGGCAGTGTTCTGAAGTTTTACTGGCTTCAAGCTGGTTTCTACAGAGCAAGGTCACCATATTTTATTTATTTTCCATTTTCAGAAAGCTTTGGTAATTTACTTACAAAATAATTTTGAAGCATTCACAAATTTCTGTACTTGTAAAACGTCTAAATCTGACCATTTAGAACCACAGCAAGCCCTTGTAGGAAAACAACATGGTGTAAATTTTTGAAAGTCATTTCAAATGTTATTAAGACTGTCTTATATTACACAAAGTCAGAGGCAAAGGGCAAAGCAATATTTATCCTCCTAGGGGACACTGTTTTGGAAACAAAGTATTCTTTTTTTATGCCATGCTTTCATAGTGTGTGCATAAATAGTGCATGTCTGACCTTGGCTTTGAGCATACACAAACCTAACAGTAGATCTTTTGCTGTTCTTTAGTTCATTCTAGCAACAGACCTTCATTGGTGGTGCTCCAGTACAATGGTGCTCTTGCACTTCAGAGAAGCACGATTTTGATGGGTCTTCAAGCCAGCTTAAATGTGATTCTTCTTATCTGTTAGTTGTTTAGACACACATCCACTTGCCACAACACTGTGGCCATGGGCATATTTAGGTCTTCAGGGCTCTCATGGGTAAATCCAACGGTGTTTCTGTGGTTGTCTCCCAAGGTCTCTTTTAAGTCTAGTATTCTGTGCGCCCATCTCTTTTATTTAGTCTTCAGTTTTCCTGGAGGTAAAATTGAATTATCCTTGGCTCCACAATTAATTTTAAAATACAAATGAACATTTTTTGCCTTTGATCAAACAGCTAGTTCTTTCGAGGAATTATCTCCTTAGCCATTACATGTAAAAGATTGATCAGTGGCTGTGTGGTTTCAGAGCACAAGATAAATGGCTATTTGTCCAATTCTGAAGCCTCTGAGAACTATAATGAAAATGGCTTATTCTCCACCTGTCTATATATCTTGTGTGTCTTGCTACCCACAGAATGAACAATGGTCCTGTTTTAGAACATGAAGAGGAAGTTGGGAGAAGGACAACCTTCCGACTTTTTTATCCAGAATCTGTTTTTTCAGATCAAAGTCACAATGACCCCAATAGTACGGTGATTCTGGCTGCTTTTAAACCACTTGACTTAAAGTGGCTGTTCGAACTGTTGTCAGATGGCAAAATAGTAAGTTGGCAAAATTGATCTGCCTTCAGATTCCTTTAGTGTTTTTCCTTCAAAAGAATAAGACAACTGTATTTTATTTTCTATACCCTTTATTTCAGAACACTAGTGGTTTTTGGAAGAAACCAGCCTTAAATTTGATTTACCAACCTTATCAAATCAGAATATTAGATCCTTTTATTATCAGAACAGCAGCTTTTGAACTACTTCATTTCCCAAAATCATTTCCCAAAAATCAGGTATGTATGTTTGCATGATTTCAAACTGAATATCCAACTTAAGTAGAATAGAGGGTCTGGGACCTTTCAGAAATTGTATGAGAACCATGGCTCAATGAGGTAGTTTTAAGGCCTCTATTGGAAATAGTAAGATTGATACCTGCGGACATTATCTTTGTTTTTCAGGATAAAAGGAAAATAGCCCTAAGATTTTTTTTGTTGTTTTTTGGATTTATCTTCCTGCCCCCTTCTGGGGTTTCCTAGGGTCTGTGTGTTCAGACTTATCCCTTAGAGCCTCATCTTCAGTCTTCTGCAGCAAGGAGAGTGATTGGCTTTAGGACAAGCATGTGGCTTTTCAGGCTAAAAAGAATTGTATGAAGCATTCATTAGGAAACTTCATATTACTACAATGAAATATACAAAATAGGCCTCTTATGAAAAAATATGGTATATTTTTGGAAGAAAAGAAGTCCAAGATTGAGTGGCTCCTTGTGGCAAGGATGGCACATCACGGTGCATATTGGAGCCTATGATCACATCTCAAGCCAAGAAATATAAAGAGGAAGACACCAGAATCCCACAATCCCTTTTGAGGGTAATGACCTGGGGGCCTCCCACCAGGCCTCACCTCTTAAAGGCCCACTAGTGCCACCATTGTGACAAAGCCTTACATATGGACCTTTGTGGGAAACACATCCAAACCACAGCACATAGTTAAAAATACCACAGGAAAGCTAGAAAAGTGAGGAAGGACAATAATGTAGTCCAAAAATTAGAGAAAACATTGGTACTAAAATTTTTAAGAAATGAGCAAAAGTTTGAAAATGACATAGAATCAAGAAGTTTGTTTATATACTGAAGGGACTGATTGAATAGAGGAAAAAAATACTGATGTTGAGGGGAGAAAGTGGTTAAGGGTAGAAGCTTAGTTAGGTAGAGATGGGATATACACACTGCCTACCTAGTAAAGGGGTCAGATGTAGCACCAATAGGGACATCTCATCCATTGTGAAGAGGCGTGAGCCTGCAAGTGTGGGTAAAGATGCAGATAAGATGGTAGATTTGGAGTTGGGTAGATGATGTAGCTCTGTTTGCTTTCATTTTCACAAAGCAATAAGGATTGTCAATTTAAAGTAGGAAGATGGGCTGTTGAATAGAAAGTTATCTGTCATCTTGGAAAGTAGGAATGGGGCTTGACAATTGCAATAGGATTGCAAGATGTACTCAATGTCTGCTTGACTTTGACCATAAGTTTAACATTTGATCAGACAAGTATATTTTTCTTTTGTTTTATTCTGGTGCTTAGGTGTAGGCATAGGATGACTGGAGAATTGATTTTCACTAGAGTAAAGAGTGTCACGTGATCATATAGGATGATGGGTATGATGCTGGAGGGCTAAGCCACAGGACATGATGAGGATTGAACTTAATATTTTTGATTAAATATTCCTAAATCCTTGTTTTATGACTAGGTCAACCCAAAATGTTTTGGAAATAAGGAGCTCATTTGCATTTTATAAAAATTTACATTTCTCTCTTAGAAACCCAAACACCCAACGACAGGAATTATTGCCATCACGTTGGCGTTTCACATATGTCACGAAGTTCACCTAGCTGGTTTTAAATATAACTTTTCTGACCTCAACAGTCCTTTGCACTACTATGGAAATGCCACCATGTCTTTGATGACTAAGGTAACATACACATCATTTCCAGTAACATTCTTTGGTATAATCTTTGTTATGGTTGAAAAGCCCGTTATTTTTCTCACTTTCACTTTACTGATAAGTTTTGAGAGAGTGAGAGCTTGAAGGGGGCTACAAAGCTATTGAAGGCCGAAATTAGGACTCAAGTCCAGAGGTCATTTTACTATAGCAATAATTCCTAAATTGTGGACCTCAGATCTTTGGTAGAATCTCATGGTTATTACCAAGTGCATCAAAACCATATAGGGACCAAACCTTAGATATTATACCATGTTTGTGCTATTAAGTATAAATACAACCTTCTGTGTTTGAGATGTACAGATTTACCCCAATGCAGGGCTATGCTCACAGTAATTATTTTCATGTATTTGTTTCACTTTTTTTCTGGGATACTAGTTATTGAACCCAGGGCTTCGTGCTTGCTATGCAAGCTCTGTACCACTGAGCTGCAGCCCTGCCCTTCATGTATTTTTGGTATTGTTAGAGAAGATAATCTAGAACAACATACTCCCACAAAAGAAATTTCATGGTTAAAAAGGTTGCCTTTTCACTAGATCGTGTTTTTCTTGATCAGAGATCAATAGTGGTGAATTTAATCCTGAGGATTTCAATTGAATGAGAAGGATTTTCTTATTTTTTTTTAATTCTTAGATTAGTGGGATACCACAAGTGATAGGATTAAAGTGTTATCTGTACATTGACATATGAAGTGATCTGCTATATATGGATATATCTCATGAAATACACCTCCTTAAGTCATCCCCAAACAATACATAAACTATACTAGTAGTAGTATTCAGGCTGGATTTTATTCCTGTCTTCTGTCCCTTCAGCCCTTGGCTCCTGACCATAAACCAAACATTTGAATATTAAAGATTTAGGTGCCTAGAACAGACTTTAGGCTCATTTCTCCAATCTCTAATCTTTCCTGTAGCACTTGTGGTACAAGTGTCATATAAATAACAATGTTAAAACTGAGAAAAATTAGAATATGAATAGAATCATTTAAAATTTTTGTGGTGCTGGGACTTGAACCCAGAGCCTTGAACAGAACTAGACAAATGCTCTATCACTGAGCTACAACCCCCAGATTCAGAATTATTAAAAAAAAAAACATCTTAAACTGAACCATTCTTTATAGGAGGTTCTTATGTCCAGGACAGTTTTTTTTTTTTTTTTAATTTTTTTTAAATGAGTTCCAAGGGTCTGGGGTTGTGGCTCAGTGACAGAGCACTTGCCTCTCACATGTGAGGCACTGGGTTCGATCCACAGCACCACATAAAAATGAATAAAACAAATTAAAGATATTGTGAAAAATAAATAAGTTCTAATTTGGTGCTTTTATTTAAAAAAAAAAAGCCATCTGACTTGAAATTTTGGTTCCTAGATTTGTATCACAGGATACCACAGGGTCTGAAAAGGCCTCTACTCAAGTGATAGATCAAGTGGAGAGAGTGGGCTTTAGGGAATGCTCTTACACAAGAACGAACAAGGAAAAAAATGTAGGAAGGTAACAGAAGTCCATGTGACTTGTTACTTAGTACTCGAGCTTTGTATATAGAATTTTTAAGATCTAGAATATTCAATTGATGTGTTAATATTTTGAGATTGGGACATATAGTAATTTTACATTGTTTTTCTTCTTCAGAATGCATATCACAATGTGACTGCAGAACAGCTCTTTTTGAAAGACATTATAGAAAAAAACTTTGTAATCAACTTGACTCAAGATTGACCCTCCAGATTCAGAAGATGATGCTAACAGTATTAGTTTTATTTTTATACTGCAATTTTTAGTTTATTTTTAAATATATTCGATAAACTTTTCAAATTATGTATACGAAGTCTGTGGCTGCTTGGTGACTCATACCCATCCCCAACTTAATTTCTGTGAATATATTTATGAAAACCAAGAGAGGTCTAGCTAGTTATCAGGGAAATAAAGTTTTAATTGCATTTTTTAAAAAATAAGCTACTGTTTTTGAGATGTTTTAAAACATCTTTTTATAGTTGACTTCATCTCAAACTTCTGAAAGGACACGACTTCTTAACAAGGAGATTTAGTTTACCAAACAGTTTTGACTACCATGGAATTCTGAGAGATCTGATTGGCTACTGTACACCTGGCAGGTGGGGAACTGAAATATGATTGTGCCTTGCTCTAGCTATCTGCAACCACCTGGCTGTGGAAACCTAAGTTCACACTGGCTTAACTCTTCCCCTCTTGTCCCCTGCAATTAGTTAAATAATGATTATGATAAGTTATAATTTGGTAGAAGAAAGATGTTTTTTTTTTTTTTCTCTTTTTAAGTTAAAGGAAATGGGCAAAATGTGAAATTCTGGATAAGTAAAAAGTAAATAACTAATTCAATTACTAAAGTCTGGTTGCTTTGTATTATTTTAAGCAATTAAAACTAACTTTCTACAAAGAAGCCAAACTAGGGAAGCTCAAGGAAGAAAATACTCTGAAACATATTTTGCCTGGCATAATTTATCCATTAAATTTTCAGTTTTTATTTGAAGTAAATTGGGAAAGGTAAGGAAAACAAAGCAAATTAAGCCGAAAGAACAATCAAGCTGCCAGGCATGGTGGTGCACACTTTTTTTTYTTTTTTGTACCAGGGATTGAACTCAGGAGCACTCAACCACTGAGCCTATCAGCCTTTTTTATATTTTATTTATATCACTGAGTTGCTTTGCACCTCAGGATCCTCTTGCCTCAGCCTCCCAAGCTGCTGAGATTACAGGTTTGCGCCACAGTGCCTGGTGGTATGCACTTGTAATCCCAGTGACTCAGGAGGCTGATAAAGAAAATCACAAGTTCAAAACCAGCCCCCGTAACTTGGCAAGGCCCTGTCTCAAAAAATAAATAGGGCTGGGGATGCATCTCAGTGGTAAAGCAAACCTGGGTTAAATCCCCAGTACCAAATGAGAGGAAAAAAAAAAAGTCAAGCTGTTTTCAGACTTAAGTATTTTCATGAAAAATCCCAATTTTTCACACGACTAATCTTCAAATGAAAAGCTTACCTGGCTATCTTGGATGCACCAAAGCATCCAACTGGATGCAAATAAGTTAGTCCTACAAATGTGGTAAGCTGGTTTCTTTTCCAAATTTTATGAATAGAACCAAAGGTTCTTTGGGGGTAAGAGAATAAGAGGTGAAGGAGAAAGGAAGAGAAAAGCAGAGGTTATAACAATGGAATTAAAAGCTGTCAGAAGACGTCTGAGTTTATTTATAAAAGAAGAATTACTATGCTGAAAAATAGATATCATTGGGAAACATCAATGTTACTGACAAGCATCCTGCCTGAGTATACAAAGGGCCAAAATGAAATACTTAAAAGCAATGGGAGACACAGAAAACTAGTAATTGATTTAACTGAGTTCAGACACTAATTATAAGGACTATGTTCTGTTAATACCAGCATACATTTGCCTAGTGCCTCAGTTTTATTTGATTCTTCTGATAACTCGGATGATGAAATGGTGGTACTAGACCAGAATCCTCTGCATTCTGTGGGATATTTCCCTTACAACACASAGCCATAGGAGGCAGCCTGGCTACTAAAGTACAGTTTATATAAAACGAATCGAGCTTCAGAAAGGATGATGCTCGGCAAAAGGAAAAAAAAATAGTGGCATTTTCAAATGTTAGTATGATCACGGTAATAACGGCCATAAAATTGATGACTGAAAGGAATATTGAGATATCTGGCATTTTATGTAGTGTGACAAAATCTACAAATCTCAAGTTTCTTTAAGCCAAATAATCTGAGCAAGACACAAATATACAATTTATTAAAAACACATTAACACATTAAAATCTCACTATTTGTACAATCTATTCTAGCAACATATACAAATACTGAGTGACTACAGTACATGCCGAGGTAAGAAAAGTACATTCTTGGGAGAATATAACTGACACCCAAACCATTTTTACTTCCAATATATATTCCAATTCATGTTTTATTTCTACCATTCCCAGTGCCAAATAAAAGAAAAAAGTAAAAGAAACTAGTCACAAGTTGAATTAAATGAGAACTGGTGCCACAGTTGACTTAAAAAGTATTTTAATAACATCCAATGCCATTTGCATTTTTCAGTTTAGGGACTAAGTTCAGAATCAAAAGGTAGAGCTAATAAATTTTTGTTTTCTTCTTTTAAAGGCAGAGTTTCATCAATTCTCTTAAGAGTTGAAAAAGCTTTCAATGTCCCACATAATCTACTAGTTCTTTCTAGGTGCCTCATCTGACATGGTGTTTCTATAGCCCTTTAGCTCTCCAGGTGACAATATGGAACCAAGGCAAAGATGCTCTGGACTTACCACTCTCCACAGCTTTGTGGCCACATTCAGATGGATGACCTCACATTGTGCTCTCCCCTTCTGGGAGAGGGAAGAGGAGAGGCAAGTGTATATATAACATTGTGATTTTAACCTGTGTATAAAGTCTCTACTTCAACCATTTTCACCATTGAGTAAACCCATTGTTCAATACAAAGTGCAAATAATGAAATGTGAACTTAAATAACTGGACTAGACCTGGCACATTCAACAAGATTTAGACTTACAGCATTTAATAAAATATAAATCATAATTCACAATGTCTTTAACTGTGCTGGTTCCTAGAATCAAGTAACAGCCAAGTCAGTGTAATTTTATGAAGTCAGTAATGGCCACACTTGCCACATCACTGTCTGATTCTATTTCTATATTTGTATTATCAGGAAAAAATTTAATCCAATAACCCACAGTGACTAAGTCTTAAATATTTCAAGCAAAGAATAAAAAAATTCAAGGGAATTTTGACAACAATAGTTACTTTCACATTTTTRGTTGTTACTTGATTGTCTCCAAAGCTGTATATATCAGACATATAAATGTAATAAAAACCAGAAATAAAGAATTCTAATATGAAAACAAACAAAAGTATAAAACCAGAAAAACCATTTGAATCAGGCTCAGCAATTCATCTGGAAAGTAAAATATATAAAAATAGTAAAAACTATTTTATTAAAATCATTGGTAGTTCAAGGACAACAGCACAGTGGCAATATGAATCAAGTCTTAAAATATGCATCATTTCAGAAAACATTTGCCTCTCATTGAAAGAAAGATTAAAAAAAAAAGCTCCAGGGAAAATGACCAGGTTGCACAATTATACAAAAATAACAAGTTTCTTTGGGAAAATGCAATAGTTATTGAAACATCTCTCTTAAAGCTTCAAACAGGCATATGACTTGAGGAAAAGAATATTCCCTGTGTACTAACGATGAATATAAACAACAAAATGGTTTACTCTGTTCCCACTTGAAAGGGGATAATTGCATTAATACATGTGCTTTACAAATTCACTTATGGTTTAATAAAAGTACAACATCTGTGCTTTTTGTTTAAAAATATTGAGTTTTCAATGAGTGAAAATTGTGCCTCTAAGTTTGAAAAATGAAAAGCAAATGAAAATAAAACCAACAAAACTGAACAAGAAGAAGGCAGGGAAGCTGCAGAAATAAACAGTTCTCATTTAGAAGCAATCTTTTTAAAAATACTGATGCACTTGTGGAAGTGAGCAAAATGAATACTGTTCAACTTTATTCAAACATCATAATCTGCTGGCATGAGCCAACAGAAATATCTAGAACCTGATGGAAAAATACATTTTAACATTTAGTCTACACACTAAAGTTTACGATAAAGGGAATGTCAAATTCATATATTTTTATCATGGTGAGCTTACATTGTCTTGCCAGTCTAAAGACATTTAAAAATGGGATTTTCGATATAGGCTAATATATTACAGATGATATCTAATTTACTCCATCTGAAACTAGTTCTGGGCAGGTCATGAACAAGTGGCAACAAGGAAGTTGCCAGGAGGTATCAAAAACAATTTCATTGGCAGGATGTGATGATGTCTGTTCCCTAGCTATGACAACAAAGGACTACTGACACCTCTTACCACACACACAAGGCACAATCACACAGTATCAAAGAACACGTGTTGGGTTTCTATTTCTTATACTAGTTTTACTGGGTAAAAGTGAATATATAAAATATTTAATTTGACTAAAATTATAAAATACCATGAGACACTAAAAAAATTTATATGTATGTATACCTATGTGTGTATATATGTGTATGTGTATACACACACATATATTTTTTATATGTATATATCTCTAAAGAGGACAAGTTCTGGTTACTTTTTGTTGTAGTTTTTGAAGGTAGTTTATATTACTTCTGAGTGAAGAGGGGAGAGTCTCCTTTAGGACTTTTCTAAATTGTAAATTGTTTCTCTTCTGTTTCCACCTTAAGAAGTATACTTGAAGACATCAGAGGATCTGAATTCATGAGACTGATAATGCAAACATCACCTACTGCAATAAAATATTTTATAAACACATGAATGGGGCTAGCCACAATGGGCCCTGGGGCAGAAAGAATAAGCAGGGATGAGACCAGGTCCATGAACTGCTTTAACTCTTAAAAGTATCAAGAGGGGAAAGTCGGTCACTTTTCCAACATGGATCTTCCTAAGGAGATACCAGGGTGTATGGTTGTGGTCAAATCAAACCTTATCTCATAATTATTTTCAAAAAAGAATACAGAAAGTAATAAAGGAACAGAAGAGGAGGAAAGCATAAGAGTACCCACCTTTCACAAAAGGAGAATTCAAGCCATTAGATATTTCAAGAACAGTACCATGCGTTATTGCCAGTCAGGCTTATAGAACCATCTCTTGAGTTCATTAATGTACCTGCAGCATTGGTAATAAATACTCTCAGTGATTTTCAGTTTCTCTGAAGTGCATTATAGGGAGCTTTTTCTGTATTAAAAATAGTGTTTTACAGTAGTAACAAACAGATGTTCAAAATTATCAGGCAAGCAGTAATTGTGCCACAGCAACACCTTTTAAGCGAGATAAGTAGTTTCCTGTACCTCGGTCACCACATTTTCCCAA